ATAGCCTACTACCTTTGCTATCAGAATGCTTATAACTGTCTACACTCTCTTTAGTGGCTGTCCTCTTGGGCTTAAATGACAAAAGAAAATGAATATTTAATAAAGCGTGATTAATTTCAGTTCCAACTGTATATAATAAATAGTTATCTATAACATATATTACATATAATATGCAATTTATAAAATACATAATTGTATATAACTTATATGATATATAATAGAATTAATCATATGCCATTAAATATTAATTTATATTAATATGTAAAATATGGGATTACTCATATCTTGTGCAGATTTTAAAATGTCCCTAAAATGTATACTTTGCCACATTTATAACTCACATATAAAATATATAATATATCCAAGCACATATATACTTATATATAACGTTGTATGAAAATATACATTTTGGCAGTCTAAAATTTGCTAAATCAAATCCACATCACCACTGCCTTTTACCTTTAGCTTAGCCTTGTGAATATTAACTGAACAGATATCCTTTTGACATTTGGAAGCATTTCAAGGTGTGATTAAAATAAATTAAGAATAATAATTATTTTTTAGAGTAATTCCTATATACATGCATAATATATATTTATGCCTTAAATTGTGAATTTCACCAGTAGTAAAACTGAACAATTCGAGGGATTTCTAGTTTTATCTTCAAATATCTGAATGCTTTAGAATTTTTAAAAAAATATTAAGAAATTTCAGTAGCGCGATATTTTGGCAAATTTTAAAATAAAAGAATATAGAAAGATCTATTAAACCATTTACTATAATATTTATTCTTATAAATTAAAGTATTCAGGGATTTAGATATAATATCCATACTTACAAGGACAGAGATAAAGCTTTCTGGAAAAATTAAAAGGAGTCCAGCAAGATATTGGAAAAATTAAATTTTTTCTATGATAAAATGAAAAGACCACCTCAACTTTCAAAAGTTTCCGATATATGGAGAGTTAGGTCATGTTCATAACATGTTGTGTTTCTGGAATTCGGTATTAGCTACCAAATAGAAAACTCTAGAGGAGTTGACACAGTTTTTAAATATTTATCATGACTTTTAAAAAATGGAATTCTCATATAATCCTATTTTCTTATACTAAAAGGCCCCATTCCTCTAATTTTTCACCTTATATTGGGAGAGATTGTCTTCTCCCTTCTAGTAGAGCATTCTGAGAGACACACAGCAAAATAATAAATCAACAACTCTTTTGTATCCATTCCAACTTTTTCTAAGTGAGATTTTGAGCCCCTCTTTAAATACTTGAGTTGAATTCATCACAAAATCCCAGATCCAGGACATTTTTATTTTGGTTCCAGATAACTTTTTCCATAAAACTCCCTGATGGAAGAGACCTGTTAACTCTTTTATGGAATTTAACAGAGGAATTGATTCCCTTCCATTTTTATCTAACACAAAACCCGGAGAGGTTATATTAGTCGTGTCTCTGCTTCGGGTACATAACTCAGATGACATGTAGTTCATAGGACTGCAATATGTAGCCGAAATTTTGAGAATACACTGATTTTAAAGATGTTACGATTACATTTTTATAAGCATGGTCAAGCATACTTAATAGACAAACCTGAAGGAGAAGCTACATAAATCACTTGCGTTCTTTATTATATTTTTATTTGCTGAAAGACCCATTTTCTAACATAAAAGCATAGACGCGATAACTTTTTTTCCTGAAAGGCTTGATTCCTCCAACATTACATTCCATCTTTCCCCCACATAATTGTTTTGAGGCAACAAATTGTCATTATGTTTTCATTTAAAATACTTCTCTCACTTCTCAAACGCCTGCTGGTGTATTGTTATTGCTAGAACATAAACCAGCTTTGTATGTAGACATCTCTGGATTCAAGCATTCAGATTACACTTTGGGACCATTGTAATTATAAGAGCAAAGACATAATTTTGCTTAAGTCTCTGTAAAATCCAAAGAGTTGAGATATAATGAAATGGCAAGTGGTAACAACACCTTGAAAAAAGCACTGGGTTTCTAAGGGCGGTAGATGGGGCTTCAAGGCACATTCTTACTGCGATATGAGGAAGCATGCCTCAGAATCTGCCCTCATTACTTCGGGCTCTTGCCAGTTCTTTTCAAACCTCAGTTCCATGAGCACCATAAAAATTCACTTAAAATCGAAAAGAACACCCTGAAGTTAAAACCCACTCTGCTTTGCCTTGCCTTTCGTGGCCTGGAATGTCACCTTTTACCTCCAGTAAATAAAGCCAACATCAATGCTCTTCCGTGTCTTTTATTTTTTATGCACTCAGTATTCTTCACATGACAATCTGGACACTTAAAGAGAAATTACAGTAGTGATCTATGTCCCGGCAAAGAGAATTATCTTTCTAATGTATAGTTACAGTGTATCTATCACTTTCTTTTGTTTCTTGGACTGTTCACACTGGATTGAGTAAATCTAAAATGGAATTAAAAGAGACATGATTAATAGTGGACTCTATTATTCAAAAGAAATAATGATATCATAATACTTTCTCCCAATGATCTGGCATGTGTGTCTCTGCAGCATTCCCCAAAAGAGACAATTGTACTGTTTTACGGTCTTTCGGGATATTGTCTCTTTAACCTCACTGTTTCCGAGAAGCCACTGAAAAGTTCTAATATGTCACAATTCAAATATCAACATGTTGTTGGAAAGGAAGCTAATAAGTTAAACCTTTGAGAGATGCCAAAAGAAGAGGTGATTCAAACTGTTGAGAGAAGTCTATTGTTTTCTAAGGGGAAATAGAACTCTAGAATGAAACAGGGCACTAATAAGCATTTAACTGGAAAGTTTAGGGGGAAAAAGCAAACGCACACTTTTTTTTTTTTTTTAATCTGGTAACTTTTTGAGCAGAATCATTCCTCTGAGTGTACTTCCAGAGAAGGGAAAATGTGAACGTTAGGGTTAATAAGATACAAACTGTAAATTCTCTGGTTTTTATACAATCATCACATAACAAAGAGTAATTTTCCTAAGATAATCTGGATTTTATCTAAGGATAGAGATAAAGAATCTTAGGTTATATTATATTAGGGCAACATTTTATGTTTGGCATTATTTTCTATAAAGCAACTTCATGTGGTTAAATTACTGTTGCATGAAAAAAATGATTTTATTTTGACAGGAAAGAAACTAAGCAGAAAATACTCCTCATTGAGTTATTTTTTGAATTTAGCACAGTTTTGTGCTCTGGTCTTTTTAAAGAAAAACAAACAATTGGAGTTTAGAGCCACCTACTGGAATGAAGAGGCACGTACTTATGTTTAATGTCCTCTGCTTTTCAAGAGATAAACAGATAAATATAATTAAAGTTATGCACATTTCTGTTGATCTTATAAATCTTAAACTACTCAACTTTTCTCAGTTTGAAATAAGTGGTCCTGTAAGAAACCACAGGTAGAGCAATGTCTTCTCAAAATAGATCCTTCCCATTTCTTAGTAGGGTGTGTCAATTTGTGTTATGTGGTTTTTCTCCCCATTGCATCGAGACTGAGCAGAATTGAATTCCTAGTTTTATTGTTGTCATTGTTGCTTTTGGTGGTATTTGTGTGTGTGTGTGTGAGAGTGTGTGTGAATGTAATGGTTCTCATTTTCACCAGTTAACTGAATAACTTTATTCTTTCTTTCATAACCTCTATCCGGTTACGGAATCGTTGTTTAATAAATAATCCTAGAATAGAATTAAAAACTAAGAACATATTACGTTAAAAAGAAAAGGCACCTTAAATATTTTCATGATTGAATCCTTTTTATATTGAGATATAATTGACATATAACATTATATTAGTTTCAGGTGTACAACATAATGATTCGATGTTTGTATATGTTGCAAATCAGAATTAAATGCTTTTATAAATGAAGAAACCCGGAATCCTAGACAAGGTGATTGGGCAATGACCTACCTAGGGTAACCACACTGGTCAGGGGAAAGGTAGGCAGCTCTTGGAAATTATAGGTCAGGGTTTTTTCCACACTTGCCCCACTGCTTTTTAGTCAGTTATTAATGGATTTCTTAAATCCTTCCTCTCATCAGCATTTTACTAGAAAGTAAGAGGAATAAGCACCACCCCCAAACCCTGGCAAAGGAATCAATTGAAGGCATAATGCCTGCTTTCAAAGAGTGGGATCAGTATCTGGATCATGAAGGCAGGTCCTGGACCTGTGAGCGGCACTTTTTTTTGGCGGTACGCGGGCCTCTCACTGTTGTGGCCTCTCCCGTTGCGGAGCACAGGCTCCGGACGCGCAGGCTCAGCGGCCATGGCTCACGGGCCCAGCCGCTCCGCGGCACGCGGGATCCTCCCGGACCGGGGCACGAACCCGTGTCCCTTGCATCGGCAGGCGGACTCTCAACCACTGCGCCACCAGGGAAGCCCGTGAGTGGCACTTTTGATTGGTAAAAGAGGGATTAAGTTTTTAAAAAACCAAATGCTCTCCTTTGACTATGTTCTCCACAGATCTCGTTGTCATGATTCTTTATGTTGTGCCCCTCCAGCCTATTACCTTAAAAGCTCCTTGTTGAGAAGGTGCTACTTTTGAGAACATGCTCGAGGGGAGTAATTGTGCCCCTGCCAGTCTTCGCTAGGCCACTGCTGGATAACGCAAGACACATTCAACTCTCTGAGTATGTGTGTGGCTCCCTAGAGTAAGGAATTCAGAGGAGGGATTGTTCTTTGTTAAACATTACACAGGGTGTATGTGACACAGCAAGCCTCGCATTAAGAAAATTTGATTTGTGAAGTGGGAGCTAGAAAAGATTTATGAATTGGCATGAGAGTCACAGCTTTCCATTTGTCATCAGAGGGCTAGTTCTCAGTGTATATAAACAGGAAAGCTAGTTCTTTTGATGAAAATAAAAAGGAATATTTTTGTTAAGGTATGGGAAAATGTACAGTTATCTTAGTGTATATATATCTTGCCCTTTCTTAATATTCACTTCTCTTTCTCTCCCCCCACCCCTTCATTGTCTCTTGAAGATATTTTATAGAGTAGTTGCAGACATTGCGCCAGGAGAGGAGCTCCTGCTGTTCATGAAGAGTGAAGATTATCCCCATGACACTATGGCACCGGATATCCACGGTTAGTACCACTCATGCCACCATCCGCGCCACCCTCATTTGGAGATTGTGATGGAGCATGCCAAAGGGTCCGTCGCACTTGGTACTTGTTAGTTTCCCTGGGTAGTCAATGTCAGGTTTAAGAAATTCCTTCTCATAGAGTAGCTATTTTCTTGGTATGACATCTGGCTAATATTACGGTGAAGCTAAAGGAAGCAGAGGTCTTCTCTGAAATGGAGGTCAGAGGAATTTTGAATATTTGGACTGAGACATCACATAGGTCAACCTTTTGTCAATGCCTTAGACTATAGTGAGAGTCCTTTCACTGTACAAAAGTCATTTCAGGGAGCTTGGTCTTGGGCTTTTATATATCTAGCAGTTGTTTCTCCCATCTAATGTTCTATTACTGGGAAAAGTATTTCTACTTGAGTAAAAACCTAGCCAGCGTGACCATATGGGAGAGGGCTGGAGGCATGAGGATTGGGAGAAAAGTACAGATGAAGAAATTTTAGAGCCAGAGGAATTTGTATTTGTCAGAGACCTATTCTAAATTAAAGAAGGGGGGATCAAAAAGAATTATAATTAAAAAAAAAAGAATTATAGTTACTAGTGATGTATATTCAGGTAAGAGTGAAAGGAAATTTTATTTGTATTGATTTGTATCATTGGGATGAGCGTTTAAGACTGTTTTCTTTCTTTTTCCTGTTTCTCTCCCCTCATGGAATGTGATTTGATTTAGCATAATCTAGTGGTGTCTCTAGAGTGTTTTTATAGTTGGAAGGACCACTGGGAAGGGTTACCAGTGAGAGGTGAGGATGGCTCCACTTCCCATCTCTCTGGCATTCCAAACAGGAGAACCTCAGCCTCTGCATCTGCAGCTCCTGCAAAGAAAGCTACCACTATTGGCTGGCTCTTTACTTGAGCATTTTTATCCTTTGGCTGAGCTGCATTCTGCCCCTTTGTAGATTATACCAGTTGTATTTTGAGGAGCCTTTTGGAACTTGTTTTCTTCTTAGAAACTGTGACAAGTCAATGGCCTCAGAAACCCAGACTTGTTAACTAGCCTGGTAGAATTTGAGCCTGAATGGGGAGCCTGACCCAGTGGGAAAGGGCTCTTTGACAGCAGGGAGTGCTCAGATGATTAAAAAAAAAAATTAATTTGGGCTGTCTCTGGTACAAGGCATCTTTCATCAGTGAATGTTTGCTCTAAAAAGGTTTTCAAACAATTATTTTTTTAATATAAATGGTTACTGTACTATTCTAAAAAGCCTAAATAGAGGTGACTATTTTTCTTTAAGGGCTACCATTCATAAATTACCTGCCTTTACAACACTCTGGAACCCGTTGGTTGCTTTTCATTTTCAATGTGTCATACCCATATCCATACATATACCTGATATGTTAAATATAATGTTTATAATGTTTACATGGTGATTTGTATTTCATACTTCTAGGATTTAATGTTTCTTAGAAAAGAAAAAATAAAACACATGCATTGTACACCTACTGTAGGCTAGATATTTTACGCTGACCATTTAGTGTCTCATTTAGTCTTTTATACATAGATCAAACCTGTAAAAAAGGAATTATTTCCATTATACAGATAGGAAAATGAGGCCATATAAGGCTAAGTAAATTGGCCAAGACCACATGGCTAGAAAGTGGTAGAGGCAGCATTCAAACCAAGGTCTTGCTGTCTCTAAAGCTTATGCCTTTTCGTAGGCCTGGAGGTTGTTTGTTTTCAGACTGCTGGCTGAGATCCTAAATTTAGATCTTAAACATGTGAATAGTGTCACAAACTATAGGAAACGTTTCCATTACCTAGTTTATGTTATTGAGAAACCTGTCTTACAGCTGAGGTGATTTATTTTAAAATAGCTCCCTCTTCTTTAACCAAGTCCAAAGATGACAAACCCTACTGAATCTACATACTAATTTCTTTACTTTTCTGGCCCCTTTGTTATTGGTTTAGTTTAAACTGAACCAGTATCGTATATGGATCACAGCAGCAGCGACCCGTTTGACCTCTCTGCTTGGCTTCTCAAGCTGCAATGGGGCATTCCAACTTTCAGTGGCTTTCTGTACCCTTCTTAGCATGGACCTAAAAAGCCCCCAGTGACCTGCTACCCTCTCTAACTTCATTTCCCACTCCTCTGCTACATGCACCCTATAAACCTGTCACACTTTACTGTAGCTTTGCCTTTCCGCGAGCCTGCCCTGCTCCTTCTTGCCTTCATCATTGGTCCATGGTATTCACACCGCCTGCAATGTCTCCCCTCATCCTCCTTCACCTGGCTGATTCTTCCTCATTACAAAATCTTTGCTGAACCCTCTCTTCCCCAGGATAGATGGATTTGGTATATTCCTCTGGGCTCCTAATTTAGGCCTGTGCATGCACCTGTCATAAGATGTATCACACTAGTTGTTCACATGTGTATCCCCTTGGGTTTCTTATGTATTCATTCCCTAGCAAAATGCCTCACATTCAGTAGGTGACTAAAATATTCCCTCAAAAGCATTCGGTCAATGAATAACTGGATATAGGTCCTGGCTGCAGGTCTGTAACCCAGGGATGATGTATCGTGTTGCTGTCCTCTGTGCCTTTCAGCACTGTGAGCTGTTTGCAGGACTTCTGTGAGGATATCTGTGTGATCAGTGCATAGTATGGCCTCATGAGTGGGCTGAAAGCTATTCCAATAAAAAGAATAGAAACGATGGCGTCACTACCTGACACTCCATAGCCTTGCTATCTCTGGTCCCCACTATTACCATTTATTTATCTTAGTGATTTAAAGTGCAAATGCATGATATGCTGGCTATTTACCAAAGCCATGCCAATTAGCACTGGCCCTGAGGGAACATAAATGAGCCTAGAAAAGTGCTAAAATCATGCTGTGTCACATTATAAGTAATGATGAATGTTAAAGCATTTCCAAGTTTATTGATATTAGCCAGGTTTCAGTACGGCTCAGATAGGGACTCTGTCCCGTGTCCCCTCCAGGTAACATGGCACAATGAGAAGGGTATAGAACGGAGGTGTGTGTTCAAAGTCTGACATAACCATTTAGCTCTATGATCTCTGATTACTGAACTTCTCTGAGCATCAGTACCCTCATCTGAAAATTGGGATACAAATCTGACATATAATTCCTCACGGTCAGGTTTTAGGAATATCAATAATCCATGTACAGGGTTGAGGACATAATGATGCTCAGTAAGTGGTCATTATGACTTTTAATATCCTGTGAATATTAAACCCTGGAAGGGTTTCGTCATAAAGTTTTATCTGATAAGAAAGCTATACGGGAGCCACAGCAATCACTTCTGTTATTGTTGTAGGCTTTGTCCTGGCTTCTTTACATTTATTGTTTCTTTTTTTTTTTTTCCTCTTCTTTTTTTTGCCACACTGCACGGTATTCGGGATCTTAGTTCCCCGACTAGGGATCAAATCCGTGCCCCCTGCAGTGGAAGTGTGGAGTCTTAACCACTGGACTGCCAGGGAAGTCCCTGCATTTACTATTTCTAATCCATGTTAAAATGGAAGTGGTGGAAAGGACAACCAAATAATTTCTATTATGTCTTCCGTAATTCGATAAGAACTGCCAGTGTGTGGTGGCACTTCCTGATCACCTAGTTCTGATAACACCTGAATTATTTTCACAGAAGAACGGCAATACCGCTGTGAGGACTGTGACCAGCTCTTTGAGTCCAAGGCTGAACTAGCGGATCACCAGAAGTTCCCATGCAGCACACCCCACTCGGCATTCTCCATGGTAGAGGAGGACTTTCAACAAAAACTCGAGAGTGAAAATGATCTCCGAGAGATACATGCAATTCAGGAGTGTAAGGAATGTGACCAAGTGTTTCCCGATTTGCAAAGGTTAGACATGGCATGTTGCACTACAAAAACGTGTTTATTTACTCTACAGTAAAATGTTTATGCTGAATTTTCAGAATTGATGCAAATGGGAAATTTGGAACAGCAATGAGCTGGACAAATGTGTTAGTCACACGTTCGGAAATCATTTTCCCCTGGAAATTCTCACCTGTCAAATATTTGCAGTGAAGTTAGAATTAGTTATTTTGATGCCAGATAGAAAATAATACTTTTATTATTTAGGGAGGGTTATTGGCAATTGCAAGCTTAACATTATAGTAAAACGTAACTTAGAGGAGGTATCAAGAGTAGAGGAGGCGACAATGATGCTGATTAATCTAATTATGCACCAAACAGAAAAGCGACCCTCTAGAAACATTTAGATGATAAAAAGGAGACTGTGCTGGTACTTACTTAATGAAGATAGGTAGTCTTTTGATAGATCAGTGTAATCTATGAATTTAATTTCAACTATTTATCTAAACTGCACATATATAAAAGAATAAGAGAAGCATGTTCAGTGAAGAAAATATTGAATTTTCAAAAAGGGAAAAAGTAAACATAATCTAAATGAAATAATTCTATAATGCTTATTACAAAACGAAAATCATATTTCAGTGATAATATTGACTTTTCATAGCCCTTTGAATTTAATTCCAGAACATCTTTTAAATTTCTGTTAAAGAAAACAACAACCCTGGAACATATGTTTTGAAAACTGTATTGATAATTATGCTACAAAATGGTCTTTCAGATCAGAAAGGTGTTTAACCAGCTAATAAGTTTTTTGTTTGTTTTTTCTACCTAATGGTTTTTGCCTTGGTCCACAAACAATTTTAATAATTGTATTCATTACTTTGCTTTTAAATCTGGAACCTATAATCAGAATTTCAACTGAACATAAAAACACTGTGTTTAAATGGGTATGGGAGTATATCAGCCGGCCTTAGTCAAGGATTTGAATTACTCACAGTTTGTCTTGGACACCTCACCTCTTTTAATTTACCTTTTTGTTTCCTTTCTTTCCTTAGTGCCTCCTCTTCCTCTTTCTCCTTTCACCTCTGTTGATTGCCCCATATCTCTCTTCTCATAGGAAAGGGTTTCATTCCATTTTAATTCATAGATGACCAAAAAGGCATCAAGTATAACCCATGCCTTGAGGAGACTGAGTCAAAAGAATGAATCTGTCTAGCTTTGAAAATTCAGGCTTAATCTAGCTATTAGAGAGAAAACATTTTGGGGGCTAAGAGGGTTTTCCCAGTACTCTTTAAACTTATCTTTACTACTTAATAAAAACCCACATAGAGAATAAATCTGTTATGTATGTTTGGTAAAACATGGATTTATAATCAAAAACCGTCACAGTATGTCTCCTAAATACATTGTGTCCGAATTAAAAACCAAAATGAAAATACTTTCCTTACCTGCTACTAAATACCAGCAGGTACTGTAAAGCCATATCTCTGATGCCAGAGAGTAAGTATATTTCCTTCTATTTTGTTATAAAAAATAATGGACAGCATTATAAAACAAAAATTGACAGACTGAACACTAAAATATTGTGTATAGCAATACTTCTCAGGTGGAGAAAACTTCTTACTCTGACTAGGTATAAGATTAAGCCTGAGTCAGTGCTACTTAATGCCAAAACCAACTGTCAATTTAGCTCCTTCAGTCAAACATTCAGTAGAAAACAATTAAGGAAACCTAATTATCTGGCATTGGATGAACCCTCAAAACTCACTTTTCAGTAGCTCAGCCAGATGGATATATCATGTCACTATGCGACCTGATATCAGTCATCCAGGTGATATTTTGGGTTATATAATTTAGCCAGTGCAGAACCTATGTGCCCTGAAGATTTTCCACTTTATTGAAACCGATATTGTTTTATATGTTAAACAAATGAGAATTCCTTTCTTGACATGATATATTATTCTGTTCTGTATCTTTTGTGTAAAATATTAAGAAAAGAATACCACCCTCCAAAAAAAGGGGGGGGCGAGAAACAAAGGTTGAACCCAGAAGGCTAAGCAAAGCTCTATAAATGGGGATAAAATTCTATGAAAAGTGAAGTTTCATTAATGACTGACTGGGTACTTCTGTGTTTATGAAAGCAATGAACATTTGCTTTTGCAAGAACCACTTGCCTTTTTATTTTCTATCACTGATTAGCTGACAGCTGATCATTCCATGGAACAATATGGGTTTTATGCTGGATTAGAAGAAGCAAAAAAAGAGAAAATTTCCTTTACTTTGCTGTCTTTTTCCCCCTTTTGTTGTATGTACTATACTCTTAAAACAATATCACACCCTTGGAGTTAGGAGGCAAGAAAAAGTCTCAATGTATAGGACAATCTTTTACCACTAGGTTTCAGAGTTTATGATTTGAGATGCATATTGGAATATAATATATGTCATAAAATGGCATGCCTTGATAGTTTGCTAAAGACAGTAGTACGAATAGCAGTCTGTACAAGGATTTTGGAAGATGTCCCTGACTCAGTTCAATGTTAACTGCCATTGTTGATATCTTTCTCTTAACTCTCTGATTAACATTTCAACTTGTGTAACAAACAGAGGATTACATATTGTAGATAAAGATAGGGACAGTCTTGTGACTCCACACACCTGTACTCTCCTGGTACCTTTTGTTCACAGAGATATCGCCACTGGTGCTCAAATAGAATAGCATTACCAAGTCGACTGACTCATAGGGCAGGAAAAATAAGTTCATGTGCCAATATGAATAGAAGTGGAAGGAGGAAACTGAGGAGGAGAAAAATATGGAAAGGTGTTTCTAATTTATCAAGATATGAGAAAGAGCATATCAGTTTTTCACACACACTCCCATGCACATGGTGTGTACGAACACTGGATAACATATTCTAGGTACACAGAGGTCTTACTTGATTCTCAAACTTAGAGTGTTCATTTCACAGAAAAATAAAATATAGGGAAGAAACAGTGCTCGTGTGCTTGGTAGTTAAGTTTTTTTTTTAATACCTTTTCATTATGGAAGATTTCAAATACACACAAAACTAGAGAGAGCGGTGTAATAACACCCATACACTCAGGTTCAGTAATTATCACACGAGGCCTATCTTGTCTCAGCTATACTCATTTTGGATTATTTGAAACAAATCCTGGACATTATGTCATTTTATTCATAAAGAGCTCAGTATGTGTCTGTAGAAAGTAAGGACTATAAAACATAAGCTCATTTAAAAAATAATGGTTCCTTAATACTATCAAATATTCAGTCGGTGTTCAAATTCCCCCCAGTCATTTCATTATTTTTAGAGTTTTCTGGTTTGAATTAAGATCAAAATAAGGTCCATGATGGCAATTGGTTGACGTCCGTCTTATATATCTTAACTTATAGGTTCCCCAAGTCAAAGCCAGTAAGTCTCTCTCCCTCTTTCTCATTACAGTTTATATGCAGAAGATACTGAGTGTTTTTTCCTGTAGCATTTCCTCCAGTCTGTATTCTGCTGATTATATCCCCTTGGTATTGTTTAACGTCTTTCTCCATCTCCTCTGTTTCCTGTATACTCATGGTTACATCCCAAGCTGTGATCAGATTGCTCAGTATTTTAGGAAGAGTACCTCATTGATGGTATCATTTATTTCCACCAGGAGGCATATAATGGATCGCCTAGATTCATTAATTCTTTAGGGGCTGCAAAATGAATGTATTCTAATTCCCCCGTTCTTTCATTATTTATTATCTGGAATAATTCTATACAGAGAAACTTCCCCTCACTGTTTATTTGCTCACCCTGAAGTACAGCTCGTATAGGAAAGGCAGGATATGTACATGAGTTTTTCCCTTTATTTACTAGCTTTCAGAATAATGATTTGGCTTCTCAGCATCTTCCTGGGGTAACTGGTGAGGTTCCATTTGTTTCTGAGTATCATTATCATTAAAAGATGAGATTATTACTCTTACTGATGCTTAAATTTCCCAATCTTTAGTCAGTGGGTGTCTCTTCAGGTTGGCACCCTAATTTTTTTGACACGATCTATAACCCTCTTGCTTTTTGCCATGACAAGATGTTCAAGGCCCATCTTGTGCATTTCATGCTTCGCATTTGAAACAGGCTATTTCTCTGAGGAGCTCTGGTTACTTTATTTGGGAGTAGTATCCTAATGTGTTATGTGTGTGTGTTTAATTAACAAAAATGTTGCAGACATCTTCTGAATATCACAGTAATCCATTATCTATAATATTTACTTTTCATTATATCCATGCAGATTTCATATTCAGATTTTAGAGAGGGAAGCAAACATTTGAGAAGATAAAATAGTCTAAGCTTTAAAGCATAGAGAAGCTATGCTTGTGAGAAAATTCTAACCCTGTTTTTCTTTTGAGGGGCTTTACTAGTGCATCCACTTATGATATACTTTTCTTTCCTCCCTAATTCATAGGTTGTATATATATAATCTTAGGTTATAGTATATATACATATATATTTTTTTCTAGATAATGTTTCTATCTATATCTACTTCTATATCTATATGCATACATGTTCATTCATCGGTCCATCTGTCTGACCATCCATTACATTGGTTGTATTGGGAAGTTGCTTGTTGAATAGTTGGCTTACAGGTCCCTTTCCCATATGGTGATTTGAGTAGGAATAAAAGTGCTTTGTTGAATGTAAGGGTTATATACAGTAGATAGAATAGCTTCCTGCATGTTCTTAAGCACTTTCTTAATGTTTTCTATTTGAGTATTTGTGTTTGAATTAAGTGGGTAACAGCAATACATGTTGCGGCTAGAACTATGTAATGAATCCAGAACTGGACAAATCGCTAGTTGTTTATCATTCCCCTACATTGGCACCTAAACTCTGCTAGCTGAATCAGATTTATTTCCCAACAACAGGGGTACTTCTCTGTATTGCTGAGAGACACAGTCTAGGGAACATAAAACGTACTTTTGTCTGTTGCAAGCCTGTTTCCTCTCTTTCTTCTCGGACTCAACTCCTTTCCCTCTTCTTTCTTTAATTGCCAGTTGGATTAGTAATAAAATGACGTTCTGTTTATGAATGTGTTCTTGGTCACCATGTCCTATTAAATCAATTGTTCTCTTAACAGCCTGGAGAAACACATGTTGTCACATACTGAAGAGAGGGAATACAAGTGTGATCAGTGTCCTAAGGCATTTAACTGGAAGTCCAATTTAATCCGCCACCAGATGTCACATGACAGTGGAAAGCACTATGAATGTGAGAACTGTGCCAAGGTACAGTGAATTTGTAGACTACTTGGCCCCTCTGTGTCATCCTGCTCTCTCTTAATCCATCATTTGCCACGGTATATAAAAACAAGCCTTGAGAGGGGAAACTATAAATATCCTAAGAAAAGTAGATGGAGTGTTGTGTGCTACAAGGCATTAGTAGTACAGTGTATAGAAACACTTAGTGGGTATCCTTTTATTTTTGTAAGGGAGGAAACAAGGCTTGATGGTGAGTTCCAGAACTAAGTGTCAGACATCCTTGGTAAATTCCTGGTTCCGCTACTGGCTTTCCAGCGTGGGGTTGTTTTATAGCCTTATGGAGAATGAAAATTGTATCCAATGCACATTACTAATTTCTTTTAAGATCAATTTGTGAGGAAATCCCATAAAGTTTCTGAATGCCTATTCAGAAAGAATGGGAGACTCCTACATTTGCAGGTTTTTCCACCGAAGTCCCCACCATAAATTATGACTCGGTTCTAATTAAAAGTGTAGTGCCTTAGTGGCCAGGGCTGAACAACGAACGTTAAGAGTGAAACGAAAGCCCTTCACCTTGACCGTAACTCTGAACTACGGGAACGGCAATTCACATCATTGAATTTTCATGTTTCTCAATTAACTAAAAGATGTCCTGGTGTCATGAAAATTGAGTTCTCTTTCCAAAAACTTTTCATAACATTTGCATATCTTTTCTCATGCCAGTGGAAATTGGGACTTTCGACCTTATCTTTAGAGATGTTTTGCTCCCTGATGTGTGGGTAGCTTTTTCTTTTTCCTATTTCTTTTTTTGTTTGTTTGTTGTTTGTTTGGTTGGTTTTCTTAGTACCATGTCCAAAGGAATGATTTTAGCTTAATGGTAACTTAATGAAACACTGTGTTAGAATTTATACCCTAGGGGAACTCCTTGAATAGATTTGGGATACTTTAGTCAAAATCCCCCCAACTTTGTACATAGTGTGTCTTTGTTTAAAGGGTGTAAATAGCACACCATTTTTTAATAATGTCATGGCCTGCATTTTTATTATTCAACTCCATTCACTCTAAATAGAATCAAAAAGCCCTTAAATATGCTCTAATAATGCCATTAATTATTTTGTTCAACTGATACCAGCGGGTACTTTGTGCTAAGTATACAAAACTGAATAATTTGTAAGTCCTGACCCTAGAGAGGCTGACACTTTGGAAATAGGACTTTCTTTCAGTCTTTGGGTAAACAAATAAAAAGAAAACAAATACACAAAATTCCTTCTTGAGTTATTCCCGGTCTTCTTTCTTGTGTCCTAGAATTAAGTTTCTTGATTAATCAGTACTCATTTCCTAGCAGGTTTTCACGGACCCTAGCAACCTTCAGCGGCACATCCGCTCTCAGCATGTTGGTGCCCGGGCCCACGCGTGCCCGGAGTGTGGCAAAACGTTTGCCACTTCGTCGGGCCTCAAACAACACAAGCACATCCACAGCAGTGTGAAGCCCTTTATCTGTAAGTTTTTCACACTCCAGCCCTCCTTCCTGCAACTGTCTCTTATCCAAAAGGCACTGTGATCAGGAGGGTGGGCCATGCATGGCCATGAGGGGGGCCTCTGAATTAGCGATTTATGGTCTCATCCAGTTGGGCTATTTTCTATTACAAGAAAATCTTTTATAACCAGGTCTATGGTGTTTTGTCTATGATGCCTGGGGTGTTTTCTTTTAGATGGAATCAATAACAGGTAGAGAAGTCATTAAATCATGTAAAGGAAGCCTCCCCAGGTTGTGGGATTTAAGAGAGACAACGAGATTTGTCTCATACTGAAAATGTGTGTGGCTTTGTAAAACAGCAAATCGCAGATACCACTAAACAAGATGAAGTGAGAAATGCCTGTTCTGGATCAGAAAGAGCTAGAAGAACCCCACCTGGCAAGGACGCTTATTAGGACTCGTGTGTGTGTGTGTGTGTGTGTGTGTGTGTGTGTGTGTGTGTGCGTGTGTGTGTGTGTGTGTGTGTTGGGGGTGGGATAAAATGCCCTTTAATCTACCCTTTGTTGCTGATCACAGGTTGCAGATCGGGAGTTCTCAGTTACTTGAAAAGCAGAACATTTTCACTTTGATGCTGGACATCCTGCTTCGATAACCCACTGCACTAAGGCAGATTTACGGGCAGTGTATTTCCAGGGGACATCCAATCTGACCACCTACTTAGAATATCCTTGTACAGAGCGCTTTAGTACAAGTACAGCTCAGCCCTCATTTGCCTCTCTTGTCCACCCACCCCTCTTCTCTGTATTGTGCTGAAATGTTTCATATGGAAAATCAGTTGTTCTTAGTCCATCTGGGCAACGACCCTGGACTTCTTTTCATCTATTGCTCGGCTGGGCATATAAACACAGTGACTCACTGAGCTGTGTTACAAAATTTAAGACAGATTTTGGATCCAGATAAGCATAGAACTGGATGAAACATACTCAGGAGTTGGCAAAACCTCTGACTTGGGAACCCTTGCAAAACAGTTTCTCTGACAAATATTCGATGGTTTGTAGTAGGTATATGAGACACTACTACAGGACCTGATGGAAAAAAAAACTAATTTTCAGTGCCAACGTGGAGATGCCAGAGACTAATGCTCCTCCTTTTTGCCTTTACACAGCCCTCTTTTGTGTTTCCAAGCACCAAGAGAGCTTTTCTTTCCTTTTCCAGCTTACCCTAGCATCCTGTTTTGCTCATATGTTCTTCTGTTCCCTGGTGGAGTAAAGAGGACTAGCAGAGAAACAAAAGGGTGCTCTCTAGTCTCCCTTGAGGAAGCTCTGTTGAAAGTCATGGGAAATAAAGTATACAATGGAAATTTTAGACTTCTTGTCTCAAAAAGACATTCCTGACTCTAGGTCGTAATGCCCTAAAATGTACTTGCAAGTGCTACAGACATATACATAGTTCATTTATTTCTGATTTTTCAGAAATGAATTTTGATAAATTACTCATGTTTTGGTGGAAAATAGGGAGGAATTGACCACAGTGAGTTATGATCACCCATTTAATGCTTTCTTTATTATTTAAAGTAAAAGTCAGAAAATAGAAATTCCTATCATCTAAAATTCTGGGATCTGGAATTTTAATTGTGTTGAAATCAAGTGTTTTGCTTTAAAGCACTATAGGGTGTCCCTTTCCAATCAGGTTGTGCAGACTATTCCCCATGAATGTATTTTCAGTAATTATTGGTAAATTTAAATAGCAGATGGCATTCTTCAAATATAAAATCTGACAGAGGACCATGGGGTAATTGTGAATAATAGCCGTGTAATTTCAGAACAAAAGAGGAGTTGGTGTGGAGACTTTGGAGTGGAGGAGGTTCACCTAGAGTTGATATCTGTTTCTCACCAGAAGGCCACACACCATGATTTACCCCCCCTGGTGTGTTTATGGCAACTGTCTCTTATTACAGTGTGCCACCAAGCTTGAGCCCAGAGTCATCAGTGCTAAGGCAATTACTCACTGCTTTACAGAAACCTCCAGCCTTCCCAAATAGAAACCACATGCTCTAATAGGCTGAATATATTCAAAATACCTCTTAATTTGTTTAATAAGTAGAAAAATGCAATGTTAACTGCTGGCTAATTCCTTATTACTGAGAAGATTACAGTAGAGTATAGACTGCAGCATCAATTGAGCCACTTACCTGGAGGCCTGGTGGTTTGTGGTGGGCCAGGCCAGATCTTCAAGTGAGAAAAACAAAGCCTCTGCCTAAGGAGACATCCCGAATTCTGTGTTCTTGGGACCTGATACAAACACCATTCGTTGGTGTAACAGAGCCTACAACCAGGAAAGTCAGATGCACGTCGGTTACTCTTGATTTTCTTAAATCTATCCAGCTATTAGAAAGAAGTGTAGAGAGCAACATTTCTTTGGTAAAACATTGCTAACCTTTCAAAAACTTATAACTTGTTTGAATACCCATCAAGATCTTTTCTCAACGCCTTTCAATGCCCAGAGGAGAGGTGTCACTTTCTTAAAGAGTGCACATTTATAATTCCATCAATATTTTATTTACTATTTCTTGTTATTGCTCATAGCTGAATTAGTATAACTAGCGAAAGTCTCATGTTTCTACCCTCTACTTCATATGGTTTTAATTAGTGTATCAAAGAATTTAAACAGTATGTGTATTTATTGTATATGGTTAACTAGTATATATTTTTAAAGCAGACTCTGGTCAATATTCCAGTAGAATAACTTGAAAAGGAATCACTCACATCTTCTCTTCCCATTAAAATGCATGTTATAGTCTCTACAATGTCATAAATCATTCCACAGTTGAACGCTCCTTTAATATTACTAAGCACATTGATATGTGTAGCAATGCATTTTAATTGTTAGTAGTAAAAGAAATAGACATAGAATCACTTGGTACTTCCTGTTTGGTTGTGTGTGGGATAATCCAAGTTCTGGATGAGTTTTGTATGACTGAAGGTCTATAAAATCTTCTTTGAATTTTCTTTTTAAATTGTTATTGTTTTGACTTAGGAGCTTAATTTAAAGGCAGTCGTCACATGAAAGAAAGAAATGTTGCATTTTGTCTTCAATTTAATTTCTTATATAAATTGGTTTCAACAGTTACCAACAAGGCATATCATGTTTCTGCATGTATTAAACGTGCACAGAAGCATGAAAGTAAGCTCACACATAAAGGGAACTCATCTTTATTAAAGTAACGTAAAAGGTGTGATGCTTGGGAAATGGATACTATAATGCTGCCAGGCCGTGTATTGAGTAAGATTCCTACCTAGCAAAGGAATTATTAAGGGTTACGGAGTGCCGTCTTAAAATGTACTTAGATCTCTTCACACATATATGAGGCACTTTTGAACTTTATGAACTTTTCTGGCAAATTCTCGGGGACGAGAGTTATTTCCCAGCTGCACCCACTGCTGTGTTCTTACTGGATTATAGCATTCAGCGCACTCTCCCCTGCTTACTGGAGTTGGCTGTACCACATAGAAGTCAAGCCCGGAGATAACCCGTGAAGATATGACAACAAGTGGACATGTTTCCCAAGGACGGGGTTTCATAAATGCAGGAAGGTTAGCACAACCACTGGTGTGAGGGGAAGTCAGAGGACGTGATCATAGTTCATGGGAACCAGCAATGCAGGATGGGCTACATTCAATTTAGTTTCCTTTGCAGCCTTAAAATAGCGCCATTGTAAATTATGTCAGTCTTTCTCAAATCATGAAAATGATTGTTAAAAATGTCTCAGAATACACAATGTGCATTGTTGTGTGGCTTTGATGTGTGAATGATGAGAGCATATGATATAATACAAATTAAATAATGGTAGAGCGGTCACAGGCTTTTTCCCCAAGGGGAGAGGGAATAAAGGTGAAGTTTCTGGTCGAGGGAGAGACTGTTTTATTTTGTGTCGATGCCTACAATATAGAACTCTTTAAATGGTCTAAAATTTTAAAGGGGTTCCTGTTCTGTTTAATGTTTAGTACATCTTAAGAATTTAATCGTAAAGATTCTGTTAGTGTAGTAATTGGGTGGGAAATCAATGCATGCTGGAATTTGACTTTTTAATAAATATTTAAATACACAAATATGATACAAAATATTATGCAGTGGGGATGACAGAATATTTATATATATATGAAATATTTGTGCTGTCTCAAGACATTTGTCAGGTTGGATGCCTTGCTTTGGAATCTAGTGAAACGGGGTTTTCTGTGTTTGGAGCACCCACTTTGGTGCCTCCGACGTCTTTTCCTGGCTTCCTAATTGAAATTTGGGGTAAACCAATTGTGATACTTGCTAAATTCAGAAGCAATTGCCATAAAGCCTGAGATTCTTTTTTGTTGTTTGCACACAGGTGAGGTCTGCCATAAATCCTATACTCAGTTTTCAAACCTTTGTCGTCATAAGCGCATGCATGCTGATTGCAGAACCCAAATCAAGTGCAAAGACTGTGGACAAATGTTCAGCACTACGTCTTCCTTAAATAAACACAGGAGGTTTTGTGAGGGCAAGAACCATTTTGCGGCAGGTGGATTTTTTGGCCAAGGCATTTCACTTCCTGGAACCCCAGCTATGGATAAAACGTCCATGGTTAATATGAGTCATGCCAACCCGGGCCTTGCTGACTATTTTGGCGCCAATAGGCATCCTGCTGGTCTTACCTTTCCAACAGCTCCTGGATTTTCTTTTAGCTTCCCTGGTCTGTTTCCTTCCGGCTTGTACCACAGGCCTCCTTTGATACCTGCTAGTTCTCCTGTTAAAGGACTGTCAAGTACTGAACAGACAAACAAAAGTCAAAGTCCCCTCATGACACATCCTCAGATACTGCCAGCTACACAGGATATTTTGAAGGCACTATCTAAACACCCACCTGTAGGGGACGATAAGCCAGTGGAGTTCCAGCCCGAGAGGTCCTCTGAAGAGAGGCCCCTTGAGAAAATCAGTGACCAGTCAGAGAGTAGTGACCTTGATGATGTCAGTACACCAAGTGGCAGTGACCTGGAAACCACCTCGGGCTCTGATCTGGAAAGTGACATTGAAAGTGATAAAGAGAAATTTAAAGAAAATGGTAAAATGTTCAAAGACAAAGTAAGCCCTCTTCCGAATCTGGCTTCAATACATAATAAGAAAGAATACAGCAATCATTCCATTTTCTCACCATCTTTAGAGGAGCAGACTGCGGTGTCAGGAGCTGTGAATGATTCTATAAAGGCTATTGCTTCTATTGCTGAGAAATACTTTGGTTC